CAGACCTTCAACCGAATCTTTTTCATCAACATCACAATTAATTCATTTCTTCTTTTTTCCCCCGTTTCCTCTTCTTTATCTCATTATCTTATTTTTGTCCGTTTCGCCTTCCTCTTCATCATCATCATGTTTTTGTTCCTCATCCTCTTCTCTTCTTATTCAGATCAAAGAAACCACAGAAATGCAATTATCACTATGTCGCCACCTATTGTCATCTTTAATCCAGTTCTGTCATTTACAAAGAGTTATTCGTAATGGAATGAACAGTTATTATTGATAACACTGATAGTTATTGCTGAAGACATGGACAGTTATTACTGATAATATTGAGGGTCATTAGTGACAACAGTTATTGATGAAGACAGTCATTAGTGACAACAGTTATTGTTGAAGACAGTCATTAGTGACAACAGTTATTGATGAAGACAGTCATTAGTGACAACAGTTATTGTTGAAGACAGTCATTAGTGACAACAGTTATTGTTGAAGACAGTCATTAGTGACAACAGTTATTGTTGAAGACAGTTATTAGTGACAACAGTTATTGTTGAAGACAGTCATTAGTGACAACAGTTATTGATGAAGACAGTCATTAGTGACAAGTTATTGTTGAAGACAGTCATTAGTGACAACAGTTATTGATGAAGACAGTCATTAGTGACAACAGTTATTGTTGAAGACAGTCATTAGTGACAACAGTTATTGTTGAAGACAGTCATTAGTGACAACAGTTATTGTTGAAGACAGTCATTAGTGACAACAGTTATTGTTGAAGACAGTCATTAGTGACAACATTTATTGTTGAAGACAGTCATTAGTGACAACAGTTATTGTTGAAGACAGTCATTAGTGACAACAGTTATTGTTGAAGACAGTCATTAGTGACAACAGTTATTGATGAAGACAGTCATTAGTGACAACAGTTATTGATGAAGACAGTCATTAGTGACAACAGTTATTGATGAAGACAGTCATTAGTGACAACAGTTATTGTTGAAGACAGTCATTAGTGACAACAGTTATTGTTGAAGACAGTCATTAGTGACAACAGTTATTGTTGAAGACAGTCATTAGTGACAACAGTTATTGTTGAAGACAGTCATTAGTGACAACAGTTATTGTTGAAGACAGTCATTAGTGTCAACAGTTATTGTTGAAGACAGTCATTAGTGACAACAGTTATTGATGAAGACAGTCATTAGTGACAACAGTTATTGTTGAAGACAGTCATTAGTGACAACAGTTATTGTTGAAGACAGTCATTAGTGACAACAGTTATTGTTGAAGACAGTCATTAGTGACAACAGTTATTGATGAAGACAGTCATTAGTGACAACAGTTATTGTTGAAGACAGTCATTAGTGACAACAGTTATTGTTGAAGACAGTCATTAGTGACAACAGTTATTCTTGAAGACAGTCATTAGTGACAACAGTTATTGTTGAAGACAGTCATTAGTGACAACAGTTATTCTTGAAGACAGTCATTAGTGACAACAGTTATTGTTGAAGACAGTCATTAGTGACAACAGTTATTGTTGAAGACAGTCATTAGTGACAACAGTTATGATGAAGACAGTCATTAGTGACAACAGTTATTGTTGAAGACAGTCATTAGTGACAACAGTTATTGTTGAAGACAGTCATTAGAGACAACAGGTATTCTTGAAGACAGTCATTAGTGACAACAGTTATTGATGAAGACAGTCATTAGTGACAACAGTTATTGATGAAGACAGTCATTAGTGACAACAGTTATTGTTGAAGACAGTCATTAGTGACAACAGTTATTGTTGAAGACAGTCATTAGTGACAACAGTTATTGTTGAAGACAGTCATTAGTGTCAACAGTTATTGTTGAAGACAGTCATTAGTGACAACAGTTATTGTTGAAGACAGTCATTAGTGACAACAGTTATTGTTGAAGACAGTCATTAGTGACAACAGTTATTGTTGAAGACAGTCATTAGTGACAACAGTTATTGTTGAAGACAGTCATTAGTGACAACATTTATTGTTGAAGACAGTCATTAGTGACAACAGTTATTGTTGAAGACAGTCATTAGTGACAACAGTTATTGATGAAGACAGTCATTAGTGACAACAGTTATTGTTGAAGACAGTCATTAGTGACAACAGTTATTGTTGAAGACAGTCATTAGTGACAACAGTTATTGTTGAAGACAGTCATTAGTGACAACAGTTTATTGTTGAAGACAGTCATTAGTGACAACAGTTATTGTTGAAGACAGTCATTAGTGACAACAGTTATTGTTGAAGACAGTCATTAGTGACAACAGTTATTGTTGAAGACAGTCATTAGTGACAACAGTTATTGTTGAAGACAGTCATTAGTGACATCATGAAGATGTACAAGTAAAATGTCAGATATAACGTGTAATGTGTGACACATAAGATACAGAGTGTGTGACACATAAAATACAGCGTGCGTGACACATAAAATACAGCGTGTGTTACACATAAGATACAGTGTGTAGTATGCGTGACACATAAAACACACCATATAGTACGTGTGACACATAAAATACAGCGTGTGTGACACATAAGATACAGCGTGCGTGACACATAAAATACAGCGTGTGTTACACATAAGATACAGCGTGTGTGACACAAAATACAGCGTGTGTGACACATAAGATACAGCGTGTGTGACACATAAGATACAGCGTGTGTGACACATAAAATACAGCGTGTGTGACACATAAGATACAGCGTGTGTGACACATAAGATACAGCGTGTATTTGTGACACATAAGATACAGCGTGTATGTGTGACACATAAGACACACCGTACAGTATGTGTGACACATACACTGTATTGTATGTGTGACAAATAAGATACATCGTGTAGTATGTGTGACACATAAGACACACCGTGTAGGATGTGTGACACACAAGACACACCGTGTAAGATGTGACACATAAGATACACCGTGCATGTGTGACACATAAGACACACCGTGTAGGATGTGTGACACACAAGACACACCGTGTAAGATGTGACACATAAGATACACCGTGTATGTGTGACACATAAGACACACCGTGTAGGATGTGACACATAAAACACACCGTGTAGGATGTGTGACACATAAGACACGCCGTGTAGGATATGTGACACATAAGATACACCGTGTAGGATGTGTGACACATAAGACACACCGTGTAGGATGTGACACATAAGACACACCGTGTAGGATGTGTGACACATAAGACACACTGTGTGGTATGTGTGACACATAAGACACACCGAGTAGGATGTGTGACACATAACACACACCGTGTAGGATGTGTGACACATAAGATACACCGTGTAGGATGTGTGACACATAAGACACACCGTGTAGGATGTGACACATAAAACACACCGTGTAGGATGTGTGACACATAAGACACGCCGTGTAGGATGTGTGACACATGAGACACACCGTGTAGGATGTGTGACACATAAGACACACCGTGTAGGATGTGACACATAAGACACACCGTGTAGGATGTGTGACACATAAGACACACTGTGTGGTATGTGTGACACATAAGACACACCGAGTAGGATGTGTGACACATAAGACACACCGTGTAGGATGTGTGACACATAAGATACACCGTGTAGGATGTGTGACACATAAGACACACCGTGTAGGATGTGTGACACATAAGACACACCGTGTAGGATGTGTGACACATAAGACACACCGTGTAGGATGTGTGACACATAAGACACACCGTGTAGGATATGTGACACATAAGACACACCGTGTAGGATGTGTGACAAACAAGACACACCGTGTAGGATGTGTGACACATAAGACACACCGTGTAGGATGTGTGACACATAAGACACACCGTGTAGGATGTGACACATAAGACACACCGTGTAGGATGTGTGAGACAAAACCCTCCACCATGGACAATATTTCGCAGTTCTCGAGAGAGACTGTAATTAGCGTAATTAATATCGGGGGGGGGCAGAGAGAGGGGGGTAGAAGGAGCTGGGGAGGCAGAGAGGAGGGGAAGGTGGGAAAGAGAGAGGGAAGAAAGAAGGGAGAATAAACAGAAGAGAGGGAGTAAGGTGGAAATTAATAAGGAAAGGAGGTAGTGAGAGAAGGAGGAAGGGAGGGAAGGAAATAGAAGAGGAGGGACAGAAGAAAGAAGAGATGGAGAAAGAAAAAAAGAGAGGAAGTGGAACGGAGAGAGATACGGAGGGAGGAAAGATTAGAATTAAATAGAATGGAGTGATGGAGGGAGGGAGGGAGACAGTGAAATAGGGAGGAAATGAGAGCTAAGGAAAAAGAGAGATAGGAAAGAACATAGTAAAGGAGGTAGGGAATGTAAAAGGGAGTGAGAAAGGGAGAGAGGGCAACCAGACAGCTATTAATATTCCAGGGAGGTACGAACTCTGCTGAGAGCTGTTATATTGACTTGCCACTAAGTGAGTGAGTATTGTGATGCAGTATATGAACATCTCCAACCCAGGCTGAGCTGGGCAAGCCCTTAAACCCAGCTGGTACTCGTGGAGCAAGGAAGGTAAGAGAGCCCCTTGAACCCTGTTGGTACTCGCGGAGCAAGGAAGGTAAGAGAGCTCTTAAACACTGTTGGTACTCGTGGATCAAGGAAGGTAAGAGAGCCCTTAAACCCTGTTGGTACTCGAGGAGCAAGGAAGGTAAGAGAGCCCTTAAACCCAGCTGGTACTCGTGGAGCAAGGAAGGTAAGAGATCTCTTAAACTCTGTTCGTACTCTAGGGGAGCAAGGAAGGTGAGAGATCCTTCAAACCCAGCTGGTACTCGGGGGAGGAAGGAAGGTAAGAGATCCCCTATACCCAGTTGGTACTCGGGAGAGGAAGGAAGTTAAGAGATCCCTTATACCCAGGTGGTACTCGGGGGGAGGAAGGAAGGTAAGAGATCCCTTAAACCCAGCTGGTACTCGGGAGGTGGAAGGAAGGTAAGGGATCCCTTATACCCAGTTGAGACTTGAGGGAAGGAAGGGAGGAACTGCACCTCCTCTCTGGCTCGACCTCCCTCCCAGCTCGTCTGGTACATCAACGGGGACAAGGTTAGCCTCGCCTCACCTCCTAGTGTTGATGTTCAGCATCATAGATTTAGTTACCTTTGCGACACCCTATTTGATGGAATATGATAGGATGATGCTAGCTCTTGTTCCTACCATGCAACTGTCACGCAGAATAAGTTACTTGTACACTGTTGGTGTTCCCGTTTTGAAACTACCAAATAAAATAAGAGTAACCGCACGCTGCGAGTGTTCCAATAATTTATCACACGGAGGATGGTAACCGCAACCTGCGGTTAATCCCATTATATAGTTATCATGTAGAATAGTGTAGCCGCACACTGCGAGTGTAACTATCATACAGAGTAGAGTAGACGGACACTGCTTGTGCTCCGATTATATAATTATGTGAAATAGTGTAGCCTCACACTACGGGTGTTCCCAATTTAATCTAATAAAAAAATATAGTCTTGTAAAAAAACTAGAGATGGTATGGAGAGGGCAAATGTGGGATGGTGCTTAGGAGGGAAATTGGGAAGGAGATAAAAGGACTTGAAAGAGGAAAGAAAACGAAGAGGGGAGTAATATGGAACATACTAGGGTGAGAGGCGATGAGGTGGAAGTATCTCAGTGTGGAGAGAAGAGAGGCGAGAGCAAGAGAGAAGTGGGCGATGGAGTGGAAGGATTTCTGGGGAAAGGAAAAAAAGGGATGGAGGAACCTTGTAAGAGTGGAAAGGGAGAATGGGAAGGGTAAAATAGAAAGACATCAAAGAGGGGAAAGAGTGCAGGACACAGACAGGAAGAGTAGGGAGCGAGGAGTTTCCTGTGTGGAGTATCCCCCAAATATATGAGCCAAACTTCGGGCATGTTGGCTTACCTCTGTTCCCCAGGGAGAGTATCACTGGTTGTTGTTATTGTTGTTCGTGTTAATGCTCTTGCTATTGTTCATGTTCTTGCTATTCCTCATGTGTATGTTCTTGTACAAGATCTTGCTCCTTTGATGTTGATGATATTGGTGATTTTGTTGTTGTTAATGTGTCAATGTCGATGTTGATGTAGTTGTTAGTTTTATTGTTCTTAATGTTGATGTTTCTGTTGCTGTGCTGTTGTTGTTCTTCCTACTGCTGCTGCTGTTGATGCATGCCGGAGAGATGACTCTAGTAATGAAGGTACTTTACACCGAGAACCACTGTATTTCCCAGAGGCAAGACTCACTATCAGGGAAGGTGACCATCCCAGTACAATCAGCAGTAATCACCATTATTCCCCCAAAACCTGGCACTGTCCTCAAATAACGTCCTGTATTCTGCTAGCCATACACTTATTTTTTTTTTTTTGCTTCAGGACCTCTCCCCTACTGTTATCGAGTATACAGAAACGTTCCGTTGTCCTTTGAATGAATTAATCATGTCTCTTGTGAACAAAACGTCAATACTAAATGTCATAAAAATAACACACCGTATGTTATTTATAGTCTTTCGATTAATTCTACTATTGTATTACCATCCCATTACACACCACACGTGATAGTTCGTAGGTAACCAGTACTGCTTTACCTGTGATGACCTCGGGAGTTTCCCCCTTACCCCCCTTCTCTTCTTCTCTCTCTCTCTCTCTCTCTCTCTCTCTCTCTGTGTGTAAACATCACAATCCTGGAGGTTTCTTTCTAATCAAACCTAAATGTTCTGCTCCGAGTTAAACCTAGAAGTTTAGCCCTATAACTAACTAAAAACAATAATAAATATTGAGAATGAGTGAGGTTCCTAATTTCTATCAACCTTTGATATCCATTTAATGAGTTTCGAGAATTTTTTTTACACCCAGAGTTCGGCTTGGATCAGGCTTCTCTGGTGCTTGCCTTGCCTACCATGCTGTTGCTGCTGGAGTCCTGCTGGCTTGCATATGCATCATAGGCTGGTTGGTCTAGTACCTGGTGAAGATACTTGTCCAGCTTCTTCTTGAAGATCTACACAGGTTCCAGTTGCGTTTCTGATATCTTCTGGAGCCACGTTTTCTAGTGTGCCCAAAATGCCCATGCTTTTCATTGGATTTATTTTGCACTTCCTCCCATGTCTCAGTAGGTAGTGTCACTGCAGTGTGCAGATTTGAGACTGGGCCCTCAAGTACTTTCCATGTATATATTATCATGTACCTCCTCTTCGTCACTGAGTACATATTTAGGATTTTGAGGCGTTTCCAGTAATATAAGTGCTTTATTGGCTCTATCCCCTAAAAGGGGCCCTCAACATAATATTCTAAACGAAAGAGCACAAACGATTTGAAAAGTGTCACAATTAGCAGTTTCCCTTGTTGTAAAGTTTTCATTATCAATCCCGTCATCATCCTGGCTATTGTGATTTTTTGCCTTATTGTGTTCTTTGAAAGGTCAGCCGGCATATTTACTCCCAGGGGTTTCACGTGTTCATTTCATTCCATTTGATGTTCCTCTTGGGTTTTATGTACGGTGTTCTTTTTGAGTTCTTTATTTTTTCTATTCATTAGCAGCTGTAACTTATCATCATTAAACGTCATGTTGTTCTTTCCTGCTCACTGGAAATCCCTGATTATATTATATTTTCGTGTAGTTTTTCTCTGTCTTCTACAAGATGACTTTCAATGCTTATTTTGGTGTTATCTATGAATATTACATAACTATGACGGGTGCTTTTATCTGTGTCTGCTAAGAGGATAAAAAAAAAGAGGACAGTGCCTTGGGCTACAGAGCTTTTGACCTCGCCAATGCTGAATTTAGCTCTATTTACTACTACTGTGTAAACCATACCATGGGTGGGATTTGATCCCGCTGTCAGAGAGTCTCACAACTCCAGACCGTCGCTGGTCCAGTGGCTAACGCGACGGTCTGGAGTTTTGAGACTCTCTGACCGCGGGATCAAACCCCATCCGTGGTATGGTTTGTTTGCAATCGTGTCATTACGATTTCGTGAGTCATACTATGTGTTCTACCTGTCAGAAACTCGTAAATTCTTCTAGTTACCATTTTTTTTCTTATGCTTATGATCCTCATTTTGTGTTCAACCCATGATCCCATTTGTTAAATGTCTTTGTAAAATCTATATATCTCACATCTGCGTTATGTTTTTTTTCCAAAGCCTCTGGAATTCTGTCATAGTGGTTTAGCAGCTGTGCAGGTATATATGGTGTAAGATGTTAGGGTTATTGGTCTGTTATTTATGGCAAGTGCTGCACTATCTCTCTTATACAAAGGTGGTATGTCTGTACTCTAAATTTAAGGTCACTGGTCTTTGAACTAAATGTAAGATCTCCAAAGCATATTGAGGGCTGTGATAGCGGTACAATGAACTTTTACATTAAAAAGGGAATATAATAAATCCGGTCAAGATGCTTAGTAGGCGGAGATTCTTTCTATTTCTTTTTCAAATTCTATGTTGGTAGTGCCTCCCCAAGCTATGTTGGTGGTGCCTCCCCTAGCTATGTTGGTGGTGTCTCCCCGAGCTATGTTGGTGGTGCCTCCCAAGGCTAATGTTGGTGGTGCCTCCCCGAGCAATGTCGGTGGCGAGCTATGTTGGTGGTGCCCCCCGAGCTATGTTGGTGGTGCCTCCCCGAGCTATGTTGGTGGTGCCTCCCCTAGCTATGTTGGTGGTGTCTCCCCGAGCTATGTTGGTGGTGCCTCCCCGAGTAATATTGGTGGTGCCTCCCCGAGCTATGTCGGTGGTGCCTCCCCAAGCTATGTTGTTGGTGCCTTCAGGAGCTACTGTTGGTGGTGCCTCGCAGAGTTTTGTTCTTGATGATCCCCAGATCTATGTTGGTGGTTCCTCCCAGAGCTATGTTGGTGGTGCCTTCCAGGGCTCTGTTGGTGTTGCCTTCCAGGGCTCTGTTATTGGTGCCTCCCAAGGCTCTGTTGTTAGTTCCTCCCAGGGCTCTATTATTAGTGCCTCCCAGAGTTCTGTTGTTGGTGCCTCCCAGACTCTGTTGCTGGTGCCTCTCAGGCCTCTGTTGTTAGTGCCTCCAAAAGCTCTGTTGGTGTTGCCTTTCAGGGCTCTGTTGGAAGTGCCTCCCAGGGCTCTATTGGAGGTGCCTCCCAGGGCTTTATTGGTGGTGTCTCCTAGGTCTTTGTAGTGCATTCCAGGGCTCTGTTTTTGGTTCCTCCCTAGGCTCTGTTGGTGGTGCCTCCGAGGGCTCTGTTGTTAGTGCCTCCCAGGGTTCCGTTGTTAGTGCCTCCCAGGGGTCTCTTGTTAGTGGTTCCCTGAGCTCAGTTTTGGTGCATCCCAGAGCTCTGTTGTTGGTGCCTCCCAGAGCTCTGTTGTTGGTGCCTCCCAAAGCTCTGTTGTTGGTTCCTCCCAGGCCTCTGTTGCTAGTACCTCCAAAGGCTCTGTTAGTGCAGCCTCCCTGGGCTCTGTTGGTAGTACCTCTCATGGCTCTGCTTTTGGTTCCTCCCAGGGATCTGTTGGTGGTGGCTCCCAGAGCTCTGTTGGTGGTTCTTCTCAGGGCTCGGTTGGTGGTGCCTCCCAGGGCTATGTTGGTGGTGCCTCGCAGGGCTATGTTGGTGGTGCCTCGCAGGGCTCAGTTGGTGGTGCCTCCCAGGGCTATGTTGGTGGTGCCTCGCAAGGCTATGTTGGTGGTGCCTCGCAGGGCTCAGTTGGTGGTGCCTCCCAATGCTATTGTGGTGTTAACACTGCCCATTTTAAAAGGAGACGGAAAGAATATTTATAAATAGGCAAAATTAAATTAAACTTACTTGCTTATTTCAATTATTTTGAAATATACTATCAAACTTTATGATTAAAATATATTATAATTTATTAAATTATTAACAACAGTACCGCAAGAAAATCATATGTTTAATCTCCGAATTTGACTCACTAATATAACGGGAAATTGATGTGGTCGCAGGTACTACAATATCCTCGAGCTGACACAGTCACACCGGGGAACACACTGATATTCGTCAGCTTTGGCTGACCTGCAAGTAGATGACATCAACAAAACTTGGCCCCATATTAGTAACCCGTAACTCTCTTACAAAGATGCATTAGTAAGATGTATGTATATATTTACACAAGCTC